TTTCATGTCAGAAAGTCACAGCCTCAAAGACACGCACACACACACACGTACACATGGATGGAGCGGAATGCAAAGGGCGAGAATACAGAGGAGAGGTAATCAATGGCAGCGGGCATATGGAGAATGTTGCAGTAGAGGAAAGAAAGTATTATGATACCCAGATTTGTATTTTGGGCTTTTCTACGCAATCATTCGGGGGGGGGGGAAATGAACTCCTCTCTCATCTCACACTCATCACTTTCAGTTGCAAGTTTTATTTTCGAGAATATGTGCTCCTTATAAATCACTCTGCATGTCAGCAGTGCGATCACCAGTCGGATGGCTAAAATGTATATCAGTCACCTCATAATGCTGAGTCATCTTCCGCCCATTAAGCCCCAAAAATAGATCGGGATTAGAAAGACAACACGTCAGAAATAGAAGGGAGAAGACAGAAAGGAGGCAGCGTGGGCAGAGCTTGTTACCAAAAATAGACAGCATCACAGGCTATGAATAGCACGGCGCATCATTAACATGGAAAAGGAAGTTCTTTGGTCTTTGGACACAAATAACATCCCTCTGTTTGCTGTCTCATGCTGCATCCCCTGCTGAAGTCGTCCCTCTTTGTCTGTTTGTGTGTTTTCTGTCTCCCCCGTCTCCTCTTTTTCTCCCCCGTCTTCTAAATGCAATTTCAAACGATATTTGATTTGTGCTTAACCGAAGTTTCACCTTACCACAAGCCAGTCACAACACCTCACCATTACCGCTACAGACACCCTTCCTCTGTTTAATCTCTCCTCCAAAAACCTCAAACACTTTCTTTTTCTTTTTTCTCTTCCCTCACTCTCTGCCCAGGGTACAGAGAGGGGTTTCTATGGAAACGAGGAAGAGACAACGGTCAGTTCTTCAGCCGAAGGTTCATCCTGTCGGAGAGGGAGGGGGCGCTGAAATACTTCAACAAGCAGGACGTGAGCGAGACGATGCCGCTGATTTCAAAAGGGTTGTTTGAAAAACCATCAAGGCACGGGGTAACGAGTCCTGTTTGTTGTCTCCCTCCACCTATAGGCCAGGGATCCCAAGGCGCTGATGAAGATCGAGACCCTCAACGCCACCTTCCAACCGGCCAAGATTGGCAACCCCTGCGGCCTGCAGATCACCTACCTGAAAGACAACAGCACAAGGAACATCTTCGTCTACCACAGTGATGCTAAGGTACACCGTTCAAGCACAACAACTACAATGCTACTTCTTCATTTTAGTACTGTACACTAATACAGGGTGAGTAGTACAACATGCCTGCTTTGCTCATCACATTTGGACTTGGAAATGTCACAAAGTGTTTGGGTAGTGACAGAGTTTGTGTTGTTTTGGCTCCGAGACAATAACTACCGGGGTGAACCGCTGACATTCAGCTTTAATTCAAAGGCGTCCACATCCACATTCAGGGAGGAGGGTGAGAATTGACTCGCTGTTCACAAATTGGAGGGCTTTGGGGAGGGAAAAAAAAAGAGGCTGCGACTGCTGCAGTGTACACCAGTATGGACGCGAGTGACCTCAAACAGCCTTAAAGCTGAGACTCAGCACTTTAACCTTCATCGGCACCGTTTCATTTTAAGATCAAAGCAGAACGCGACAGAAAATGTGTCGCAGTCCTGCTTCATTCAGACCGCACCGTATCGTCTCACGTGAAGTATGTTGTTTTTGCAAGTTTTGTTACATTATTTTGGCTTTCGTTTTCTGAAATAGATTTGAATTTAATCATGAGAAAAGCCCCACATCCCCCCTGTAGGTTTCGAGTGGACCTTCCCTCTCCCCGCTGTGCTCAGCTTGGTCCCTCCACGTGGGGAATGACGAAGCCAAATGTCAGCGCAGTACTGACTGAAATATATCCAAAGTATTTACCTTGTCTAGGGGGGGGGGGGGGGGGGTCAGCAGCAGCAAAGCTTTGAATTATTTGCAAACACTATTACAACACTTGTAACACCCATAATTGCCATATCATTTCCTGGAAAGTTTCCTGGAAAGGATCATTTAGTGCTAATGATGGGGAAATAGAGACAGATGTTCTGAGCCTTTACACTAACTACCCAATAGATTTTATAAACATATATATATATATATATATATATATATATATATATGATATATATATTTAGAGAGAAAGAAAGAGAGTTAATGAGACAGAAACAGCACTGCTCCCCCTGCTGGCGGACTGACGTTCCTGCATGCTGTGACAGAGAGAGAGAGAGAGAGAGTTCACTGAGTTTGTTCAGTGTCACTGTGACTCTTCTTCTGTGGTGGAGTTATCGACAGCTCTGCAGCATCCACACAGCACAGATGCCTTTGACTACATCTCGCTGCTGCCTTCACTGGCATCGGGAGAGAGGGGGGGAAAAAAAACCCATCAGCATGACTTTTTCTGAGCCCAAAGCGCCTACCGTGGAAAGAAACTGTGCGCTTTCAAGCAGGACAGGTTGCCACTGAGGGGTGTGTTTGTTTTGTGCAGGAGATGATCGACTGGTTCAACGCTATCAGAGCGGCCAGGTTCCACTACCTACAGGTGGCCTTCCCTGGAGCGAGCGACGAGGAGGTGAGGATTTGTTAAAGGTGATCACGACGCATCATTGTGTTTCATATGACGTGCATGCTTTTACTTCATGTCTTCTTCATGTCTTCTGTCTTTTCTCCTCCAGCTGGTGCCCAAACTGACCCGAAACTTCATGAAGGAAGGATTCATGGAGAAAACAGGACCAAAGGTTTGTGCTGCCTGCAACCCCTCAACACTTTGAATAACTGTGGATACATTTATTTGAGCTGCTCAAAGCTAAGCCATTCAAGTGGGGCTTGATTTTGGTCACACCTCTTACGACAAGTGACTCCCTGATTGTCTCTGTTGCTCTGCTGCAGCACACAGAGGGCTTCAAGAAGAGGTGGTTCACCATGGACGACAGGAGACTCATGTATTTCAAAGACCCTCTGGTAAGACGAGACCTCACCGTCCGTCCTTTTTTATTTCCGACTGATCACCTGGTCTGTCCACAGGACGTCCCGTTCACCCTCTCTGTCTGTCTCCCAGGACGCCTTCGCCCGGGGCGAGGTGTTCATCGGCAGCAAGGAGAACAGCTACACCGTCCTGTCCGGCCTGCCCTCCTCCACACAGGGCCACCACTGGAACAACGGCATCACCATCGTCACACCGGACAGGAAGTTCCTGTTCGCCTGCGAGACCGAGGCCGAGCAACGGGATTGGATAGCTGCCTTCCAGAGGGTCATCAATCGGCCAATGAGGCCGCAGGAATACGCAGGTGCGGAACGTTTGCGATTCCGATCCTTTTTTAATTTTCACTGATTTTGTTTCTATGTTTAAAGGTATCCTGTGGAGCTTTGGCTTTCTGGTAGCACTGTAGAGCAATGTTTTTAAGAGTGGGTCTCGCTTGGTTTGTATCTTGTAAAGCCCACGGTACAAACCAAGCATTATAGTGAGAAGCTTTTCATCTAAAAAAAAAAACCCCCAACATGCTCCCATATTTTAAGACAAATCAGCATCCACTTGAAAAAACTTTAAGCATGGCAGCGTGGGAACTTACGTCATCAGAACTCCATATTTGTAAAACTCCGAAACAATCTCCTTTTTAGTCATTTTTTTCTTTTTAGCTTCTTAACCTTTTAGCTGTAATCTCTGCTGTCTGCTGTTTGCTCCTCTCGCTGTTATTACACACATGTCTGAGCTAACCGCCGACTCGCTCATGACCTCGCCTCCTCTGTCGACCCGAGACGTTCATTTTTTTTCATTTTGGCACAATGTCACAGTTTTTGTCTCAAGTTTCTCGACTCCGACAGAGCTTTAAGGATTCTCCTCCTGCTCTAAACAAGTGGGCAGTTCGTGTAATGTCATGTTATTTCAAACCACATGTTGGGATTCACGTAATGTTGCTTTAATGGAACTCGCTGTATTTCTGGAGAACAAGGGACTTATGTGGTGTGTAAAGCCCCAGTGGCCTAACGGACAAGGCACCAAAGCTAGGGATTGTGGGTTCGATACCCATCTGGGGTGAGAGAGTGGAAGGTGGTGCGGTGGTGGAAGAGTGCTGTTCATGACGTACCTGCCTCTCCCTAGCCCTGTATTATGTCACTTTCTTTTTCATCTCATGCATGTGTTGAACAGAAGTTATGATAACTGATAAGTTGTGAAAATGTAATGTTTGTCAATTCGTGATGGAGGTAATTAGAAGCGTTTTCCCCGCTTTAAGACAACTTTGACTCCAGTGTTGCTCCTCCAACAACACATGCGTCTGTTGCTCTGTACACCAAAACATTTCTTTTGTGTGTCTTTGCAGTGGAGGCCCATTTCAAACACAAGCCTTGAAGACCGCAGGACGACCACAACTCAGCTGGACCGGCCCAGTCTCATTCAGATCCGAGAAAACAACCCCAGTGTGTGAGCAGACACCATGGCTGGAGCGGGTGGGGTTTACGGGGGACAGGGGGGGGTGGGTTTTGGAGATGAGAAAAGATGATGAAGAGGAGAAGACAGAGGGACTGGAGCCTATCTATGTGTGGAGAACTTGAACTCTTAACGGGGACCGAGGGCCCATCGTGGGGTTGAGACGTCGGCGAAAGGGTAGATGATGTCATCACTATTGCGCCTACCTAACCTTTGTGCTATACATTTATCACCATACCTTTACCTCTGCCATGTGGACCCTTTCCCTGCAACAACCCCCCCCTCCCCCTCCGCCTCTCAGATTTCGTCTTGTGAATGGTTCATTCTCCCTGTAATCTAATGTAATTATGTATTCTAGAGTCATTTCACTGGTCGCTTAACAAAGACGATGCATTGTTAATTTATTGAATGTACAGTTTTGATGACAGTGGCTTACCGTGTGTGTGTGTGTGTGTGTATGTGTGTGTGTGTGTGTGTGGAATCGTGATGTTTTTCGTTGAGGACGCTGTGAGGTTTGAACCTCTGGCACTGAGACCCTGTTATAACCTGAAACCTACAAAGTGCTGTTAACAACAAATATGCATAAACAAAAAACACACACACACACACAGACACAGACACACAGACACAAACTCTCAGTGATCACCGTAGCTGTTAACGTAGCTGGAGGTGGCTGATCTGCATCCGGGCAGGGTTCTTTAACGACCTCGATCTCGACAGCTGTTCTCTTATTTATTTGTACCGTCGACAGTTATCGCTGCTTTAAAAGGATTGTAATGTGACAGGATTGTAATTTATACAACACTTCTACTCTCCAACTGTTTTTATTTACATCGTGCATCTTGTTTTTTAAAGACACATTGTTGTGTTGACCCTCGAATCACAGTGGCGGTTTGTTTCATCATGAACATCATAACATGAATACAGATGAACCTGAAATCAAGCGGCATGTGGAGTCTGATTTTTCTGCATATCGGTGTCATCTGTACACATGTGATACTTTTTAACTCCAGGTAGCTTGATTATTCGGGTGTATTACAATTTGGGTCTAATTTCCATAATGTTGGCCCTCTAGTTCATTTTAACCAAACAGCAATTCATTTGGTTCAACACCAAAGTTGAAATAATTATAAATGATCCTTTAAAGTGTAAACCCTGTACTGTGCAGTTACGTGCATTTATCCAGCAGGTGGAGCTCTTCTGTTACTTCCAAATGGGAGTTCTCTCAACGACAAAACATACACAGACAGGTGACAGGATAAGTTAATAAGGCATTGTGGTTAGATGAGGAGTAAACTCACTATCAACGTCTGCATTGAAAAGGGCTCCTATAACGTTGTCAGACTTACAATGGACAATCATTATTTAAAAAAAACGTATTATAATCGACGCAGCAGGATCAGAGATATCGTTTGTCTTTTTCCACACATTCTTCTTCCCTGTCAAAGCCTGGCACCCACATTACCCACAATGCAACTCAACCGCAGACAGAGGATCAGGTGTGTTATGCAAGTATAGCGCAAGCCTCAAGGTCACTTCTTTCTGATGTCAAACCACCAGGTTATTGTCTTTAAAAAAAAAAAAAAAAAAAACTTTTAGTCATCAAGACTTCAAGCATCTTCTGGAGTCACAAGTCTTTGTACAACTTTTTTTTTACACACACACACACACACGCTGTAGTCTCCAAAATATGTGTTATTTAATGCGCTTTAGAGGCGCTGGTAGGCATATAATCTATGCTATGCTAAACTAATCGCCTTCTGGCTCCGCCTCCATTGATTTTCTAATCAAACTCAGAAAAGGGAAGGATATAGGTGAAGTTCCCAACATGTTAAACTATTATTATTTTTTATTTTAAGAAAAAAAGACGTGAATAAATAATAAAAGTCCACAAAGCAAAACTGCATCAGGTGCAGCACTCCTGTGTTTTTTCTGTAAAGGCCCAGCTGTGTTCACATATTCTATGTCCCAGCAGATGGCGCTCATCAGTCACCCGCTCAACGAGATCACCACGTGTGGAGAGCGTGAGCTGGTCTGCTGGTGTAAAATGTCACCTGATGATCTCGCCACTCTTACACAAACTTCCACACTGCTGGCCCCGCGGCTCCTCGCGGAATTGCGCGGAAAGTCAATGCTGCCTCTGTCTGGCCCTTCTTGTTGACGTTGGCAACCATGGTTGTCGCGGTAAACTGCCCAGACAGTGAGGCACTGAGCTGAGGCAGGTGGGGGACCCACACAGGAAGTGTTTTAAAAGCGGTTGGGACAGCAGCCACCTTGTTTGTCCTGTAGATATTGTGGTCGGTGAGGTGCCGGCACGTGTAGCAAACATTCATGAATAGTAAAGCTGCTTCCTCAGGTTATTTCTTTTTCTTGGGGGGGAGGTTCTATGTTCGAACCATGTGGGGATTACACGCTATTATGAGTTATTAGAGTGTTAACCCTTTAGATACATTTAAAAACAGTCCGACTGGATTCATGCCAACGAGTCAATGCTTTTTTTCTCCTTCTTCTTCTTCATGTGTCATAAATCAAAGGAGCATTTCTTGTTGTGGTGCGTGGAAACCCCAATCCAGCTGTCCCGTCCCGTCAGGGCTCCCGCAGACTACACCCCCGACCGGAGCTGCGACTGTGAAATTAGCTTAATCTCCGCACAGGAAACCCAGCAGGAGCAGCTGCTGGGTTGGAAACCAACTGGTGATGCAGCAGGAGAGAGGGACAGGTCGGCGGAAGGAGCAAGAACGTCCGATTTGAAACGTGTACTGTCTGCCGAGTGGTGGGACTCTTGACACTTGCATTCCTTTATCTTAGCGCCCATGTAATGTTGAGCGCTTTTCTGATATATAACCGGGATGGGTAAACCATATACATGATCTCATAATACCGGCAAGACAAAGTGTTTGAGAGGTTGAACATGAGTTCCATTTCACCCCCAAAGAGGACTTAGACTTGGGTTTAGGTTCAGGTTAAGACTACATTTTATGGATTAATTAGAGAGCGGCTATAATTTGTATTTTTTTTTAATGATGTGTCAAATGACAAAGTGAAAACAAAGGGGTCGCTCGTAGTGATGAACCCACAGAGAATGATCACATGCTGCCTGAGTGGTATCAAGCTTCCTATCTAAGTATCGGCACGAAAAGCATATATAAGTGTGTTTCCCAAAATGTCAAACAATTGCAATCTTTTTTTAATTTTTTTCATCAGATACCCTACATTGCTTAGAAGAAGACACAATCCCTCGGCCTCGATACGGTTCAATACAACTTCCTGCTGGCTCAGAACTCCTCACAGAATAATGCACACCCCTTTACATAATTCTGCCCAATAAAAGGAAAAAAAGAAAAAGGAACACATTCAGATTCAGTCAAAAATGCAACACAGTTGGCTTTGAACCCCATCGATGTGAAGGTGAGGGTAAAGAAGCACTTGTGCTCTTTCGGTGGAAAAAACTGCTCCTAAACCTGAGACGCCCCGTCTTAAATAGGTGCTGCTCACATACCAAAATCTCATTAGTGTGGAGTTCAGATGGAACCTTTTCGTGTCCAGTGCAGGTTTTTAAACGTCAGAAAAGAGAATCTTTGTTAATCTCATGAATTGCTTTCCATGGAAATGAACAAATGTAACTAATATATTGACGCACAATATGAAGCTTTGGCCCAACCGATATCAGCGCTGTCCTTCAGAAATCCACCTTCAGGGATGAACTCTTTCAAGTCATCAAATCTCTTCAAAGTCATGAAAGCGGCTACTGTTCTGCCCCGATCTGAGTAGTCATTAAAGTTTTTGTCCATATAACCAAACACTTGGAGGGGGGGGGTTTCCTCCTCTTCAAGGCCTGCTGAGTGTTGTGTAGATAGGCTGCTCCCAGCCAGAGGGAGGACTGTGTGGAGGCGGCGCCAAGGCCAGGCTGTTGATAAGCGGTGCGGAATAAGGCCTACGAGAGGAGTGAAAGTACGGGTACTGATACAGACTGGCAGGGTACCCGGAGAAGGCGCTGTAGATACTGGAGCTCTGGAGGTCGGTGTAGTTGGATTGGTTGGCGGAGGATGAGGAGGGGGAAGCGGAGGAGCAAGCGGAGGAGCCGAGGGACGCGTACTCGGGTTGTGGCGGCGGCGGCGGAGTGGAGGAGGAGGAGCTGCTGTAGTGACCCGGGCTCATCTGCTCGGTTTTAATCTGAAGTTTTTGGCCGGATGAGGACGATGGCGGCGTCCCAGTGGAAGTCCCACTCTTGGGTGTCCAAGTGGGGCTGCTGTGGGAGTGGGAATGGAAGCCGGGTGGGATGAAGGATCCCGGCGGGGGGTTGCCGTGTCCGTGGGCGCCGTCTGGTGGGGTCAGGAGAGCGGAGCCGTGGCTGTTGGGGGGGAGGTACTGGTCGAACTCGTGCACGTCGAATCCACCGATGGTGCTGATGACGTCGGTGCTGAGCTCTGACATGTCCACGTTGCTGAAGTCAATGTTCTGGCGGCCAGTGGGGGGGGCGGAGCCGGAGCTGCTGTCCACGGGCCGTAGGCCCTCCTGTTTGTTCCCCATGTGGAGGTCGGTTTTAGGGGTTGTGGGAGGTGTTGGAGGTCCATGAGACTGACCTGGAAACCAAAACCAAAGAAAGCACTAATCAATATTTCCATACTGAAGAAATAAAAGTATAAAAAAAAATTAAATAAGTGGCAACACATGCACTTTTAAAAAGGGTAGTCATCTAACCTGTCCTGTCTGGTTGGTAATGATGGTGCACTTCCCCCGTGCCAGCCAGCCCGCCCCCCCCTGGTTCTGTTTTAAACAGGCTCTGATGCTGCTGCTGCTGCTGCTGCTGGACCAGTCCGGGCTTACAGTCCCCCTGCCCGGGTTTGGTGGTCTTGCGTCTCCGAGGCTGGTACTTGTAGTCCGGATAGTCTTTCTTGTGCTGCATCCTCAGCCTCTCGGCCTCCTCAATGAAGGGATGCTTCTCTGTTTCAGAGAGGAGTCTGAGGAAGAGAGTCATCAGATTATTAAAAGGTCCTTTTAAACACCAGCAAGTGCAGAGGCCAAATGCGATACAGTCCACGTCCCCATGTGGTTCGTGCTCACTGTTGGATTCTCTTGAATACCAGACCGTAAAATGAGAAATAAGAATCATTCTTATGACTTCGTGACATTTTGTGCACATGTGCTCTTTACTCCACCACAATTCAGAGTACTTTTTACTCCACGATCTAACAGGTCGAGACTTAACACACAAAACATATGATGAGCTAATACAGTTTGATGGATTGTTATCGATCAAACCACCCAAGTGTGTAAAAATAGTTAGAATCACTCTTATGCAACAACAGAAAAACGCTACGTACACATCAATGCATCAGTAATAATAATCCAAAAATAGGATATAGTATATCACATATAGGGTCTTATTTCTGTATTGTCAGTGCTGGTACTTTTGATACTAAAGGGCACTTAGCTAATTATACTCACATACAGTTACTTCAGTAACGTTTTCAGTGCAAACTGTTTTTTCATTTTTATTTTCATTAAAAAAAAAAAACACTCTCTGCATGCGTTCTAATTCTGCATCACTTTTTACAAGTACGTTCTCATACATGTTTTTTATTGCAGTTGTGCAAAATTTTGGCCAATTACTGGGATCATTTCAATGCTTAATACCTTCATTAACACAGTTAGATGCATGAAATACTAAGTGCTCTTTAGTTGAAATTGAGACTGGTGTAGATTCAGGACCCACCGCCACAGTTTGCCCAGCGTCTTGCTGAGCTCCGCGTTGTGCAGGTGAGGATACTGGTCCGCCAGCTTCCTCCGCGCCGCCTGCGCCCAGACCATGAACGCGTTCATCGGCCGTTTCACGCGGGGTTTGCTCTTCAGCCCTCTCTCCCCATGAGAGGGCACCGGTAAGAGCGACCAGTCGTAACCCTTCAGCACTTGCGACACGGCGTCGCGGATACAGAGGGGGAAGCGCTCAGCCTCCACGCCGCTCTCCGTTTTTGGCGTAATCCCGGGCGGGCACGCTGCCTCCCGCGCGTCGGACCCCGCCGGAGAGGTCGGCGACTCTGAATCCGCTTCATGCCGGGACACGGAGCTGTCGCTGCCTGCTGGACTGCAGGGATGGTCTGTGAAGGACCTGCTCTCTTCCGTCATTCTTGGCGGGTAAAACGTTGCTTGGTGGCTCGATTCCCGAGGAACTCTCCAAGTGCGTATATGCGCACGGCTCCGCAGGAAGACTGTTTCACCCCGAAATCACGATATATCCCAAATATCTCGTCTTGAACTATTCCCCTCTGTGTCCTCCACAGTTTGACCGGTCTATATTTTCCCTTTAGTACTTTCTTTTCCAGCCCACGTGCATCTCTCCACCCCTCGTGTCCCATTGGCTTTTGCAAAAGTGTACAACCACAGTTCCTCCTAGTTTACCATAACGGAGCAGGAGGAGGCAGATTTTGTTGAGAGTCGATATTATATTGAAAATTTAAAACAAAATTGTATGTTGGTTCGGATAGTAGCAATTATACATGGGTTTGATTTTCTCCACGTTCAGAGATAGAAAATGTGTACTTTGCTTAAGTATTTAAATGTTATGTTATTTTATGATAAACACTTCTAGGCCTACCTCACGACACTTAAGAGACAAATAATATACACGATTCTTCTAAATATACATAGGCCTATATAGTTAGTAGCCTATACATTTATTTCTTTATTTGTTGTATTTCTTATATACACAAGATGATCTCACAATGTATCATACATTGACACTGCAACAGGAGAGTATACATAAGTACTTTAAATTAGCTCCATCTTGAGCAAGTCTAACATTAAAATCCTGTCAATGCCTATTATTATTGTCATTATATTATTTATTTATATTATTACAACAGACCCCGAAAGTAAGAGTTTTTCAATAATCCCATTTTTCTTCATCTCGTTTATTCAGTTATGATTTGAATTGCAAGAAATGCTAATAATACCAATACTAATAATGATGATTTTATTATCTTTAAATGAATAGTAATAATAATAATTATTATTATAACACACTTCCGCGTTGTAGTAGTCACGTGACCGTGGAGCCCCGCAAACATGGCGGCCACCGGTGGCACTTGTGAAAGCTCCGTGAGGAAGAGACGTGTTGACAGCATAAAGACGGAGTCAAAGTGTGCCGACCGCAGCGAGGAGCATGGAGCGGACAGCAGCGAGGACACGGAGGAAGAAAAGGGACCCCGCTCGTTACAGACGGGGACTTTCTGGCTCACTCGTATCGTGCTGCTGCGCTCCGTCGCCTTTATTTACTGTAAGCACGTTGACGTTTAACGTTACTGGTGGGGCGCTCATTAGCAGTGGGTCATTTCCGCTAAAGTCCACAGGAGATGCGGAGTCGTTATTTTAGTTATAGCTAGCTAGTTAATAAGTTAGCGCTTTGCTCATATTCTCCTTTCAGGGTGCTGGTGTAGAAATGGTGGCTTACTATCTTCATTTGAAGCTGTCACCTGTCCCAATGTTCTGCAATGTTAAAAGTGCACCATTCGGTCTGTAGCACCAGTGTTAATTACTAGTGGTCATTTAGTGATGGAAGTGTTGCTTTTCATTAGCAATTAAATATATAATTTTTTTCCATTTTTTATTTAGGTAAAGTAGTAAAACCCCAGTGCAGAAGTCCTGCATTTACATTCACATGAAATAGTCTAAGGATTTTTAGCATTCCCCCACCTCGTTTGGAGTATTCCTGTGCTCCCTGGCCAGCTGGAAGATGCAAATCCCTCCACGGTTTCCAAGGTTTGTCCTGCAGTCTCCTCCCAATCAATAATGCCCGGGGGCCCCTGAACGATATGCTGCCTGGGGTCTTACGTTTGTGGGCAAACCACCTCAACGCCCAGTGCAAATGAACTTCCTGTTCAGGAATCCCAGCAGCCCCCCGTTTCCATGACCTAGACAGATCAGTTATGTTTTGCATGGATAAAACCCCCTTCTCTGACTTGCTGTAGCTGATCTTTCACCCGACCACATCTCACCCACTCACTCAGCAGCAAATGATTACAGTGCTCGATCGGGAGTTACGGTCCAGTGAAGCCAGAATGACATCATCCACAAAACACAGCTCAATTTCTCTTAAATTTGACCCTTTTCTGACCTCAGATTTGCCTCGATACAGGAGAAGTGGCCATGCATGAATTGAATGAATCATGGAATCTTATTTCCCCCCCCCGTCTCCTCTCTTCTCTGCAGTGGTGGCGTTCAGCATCGCGTACAACCAGAACAAGCAGCTGATAGGCGAGCACGGCCTAATGCCCTGCAAGAGCTACCTGAACAGCGTGAAGCGCTACGTGGGAGGAAGGATAGGCCCGGCCGCCTTCGCCTACACGCCCTCCGTCCTCTGGCTCTTAGACTGGAGTGACATGGATGCCAACCTGGATGGGATCGCCCTGGGGGGGATGGCGCTGTCTGCGTTCGTCCTCGTGACGGGAATGGCCAATATGGTGGTCATGGTCACGCTGTGGGTGCTTTACCACTCCCTGGTCAGCGTGGGACAGCTGTGGTGAGTCTGGGACGTGCACAAACATAAACTGGGATTATATGTGGATGACAAACTGTGTAACAAGAACTCTATGTATACAATTTTGCTAAATGAAATGGCCAGATTCAGCTTTCAAAAACCCATTTAAAGTCTTTAAACGTTGCACATTAATTATTTTTTTCTTTTGTTGCATGAAGGAGTGCATCAAAGTGTTAATTTATGCCAGACACACCTTTTTGTCAGAGTCTCCTTCCCACGTTGAACATACTAGAAAATATGAACACGCAAAGTTGCTTTAATTGCCATAAATAAATGAGAATATTCTTGGGAGAATTGGTTTACCATAATAACTTTATTAGGTTATAAAATGTCAGATTATTATTTTTTTAATATTGCCGTGTCCTTTTTGTTTTCTTCTCTTTCTAGGTACTCCTTCGGTAAGTGATCAACACGGTCGCCACCAAGTGCCTCAAAGCTTTCAACCGTAACACAAAATCCAGGACCGCTTCCTTTCTTCCTCCACGTTAAATAGAAGTCGTGAAAGTAAGAGAAAGCATTTACGTGAGACACTCAGGTTTGGATACAATTTGAGTGTGTTTATAGAAACATATATATGTATAAAATAAATCTATCCCATCCTATTATTTAATTCCAGTAGGGTTGTATGATTTTATTGGGAATTAACCTCAAAGATTAAAAATAAAAACAGCACAATCACATCATGAATCTGCTTTATGCTTCTGACACCCTCAGCTTTCTCATGACTGTTCCCCAAATAGTTCACAGCCAGTTCTTTGGTTAAAACGCAGTCGCTGACAGAATGCTGCTCTACTGATGTGCAGGCCAGTGCCTATTTACACAGTGAACCCAATAAACTCATGAACGCAATAATAAAGGGGGGGGGGGGGGGCAGAAGGGAAAGACTTAAGAAAGTATAAATGGGAGGTTGTACGTAGGGCTCCGGCCCAGATAAGTGGCGAGGTCAGTGGCAGCTCTGTGATTGGCTAATGACACTTTGTAGTCAGAGACGCCGGGCCAATGTCTGTGGTTGGGGATTGTGGGCTTCTGTTTCTCTTTTTTAAAAACTCTCACTGTCTTCCACCCTCACTCCCTGTTTTCTTTTGGACCTATTATCACCCTGTAGCTGACAGTGCAGCTTTAAGTCTGCAGACTTAAGCTCCAACAATTGTTTCCAAGTCTAGACTAAAAACCAGAGGACATGTTTGTTTTGCTGTTGTGGACATTAGTCTCTGGAATAGCACGCTTTACAGAAATTGTGCAAGTTAAATAATCTTTATACGAGCTACCCATAATTCCTTCTGGGGCTTTCAACCATATAACATGGTCGTCATCAGCAGATGAAGTTTGCTCGGTTGTAATCAAACTGCAGATTTCAAACTTTCCATTCTGCTCATCACTTCTAGTGTGATTTCTTGCCAAGCTAGCAGCATGGCTGTAGGAATGGCAACGTTGCTCCGTTGGTCCAACACTTTTGGACCAGGCGGAAATATTTCAACAACTGTTTTAAAGATGGCAATGGATCTCTATACAGACATTCATGGTCCCCAGAGGATGACGCCTACTGGTTCTGGTGATCCCTGACCTTTCATCTAGCGCCACCAGCAGGTCAAAGAGTTCAGTTATCATGTGAAATATCTCCACATCTACTAGATGGATCGGTGTAAAATCTTGTACAGACATTCATTGTTTCTACAGGATGTATCCTAATGACGTTGGTTTCTGTTTTTCCAGCGCCATCTAATTAGCAAATGCTAGCATGCTTCTATCACACCTGCTAAACATCAGCATGTGCATTGTCATTGCAAGCACATTATCCTACTGACATGAGCATTTAGGTCTAAGGCAATAATGTTAACATACGCTAGTGCCACGTTCGTAATGATTAACAGTTTGAAGCAGCTCCAAGCAAAGTGTGCTGTGTAAAAAAAGCCCGTCCACCACTGTTTACCTTAGAATCAACCTGTTTACTTACAGTATATCATATTCTGCGCTGAGTTATGAACAACTCATAGCCAAAAAAAATCCGGTTTAGCTTGAGTGTTCGGTGTGCAGCTAATAGCATTAAGCATCATTTACTCTGTGACAAATTGTCCCTTAGTCTAGAGGAACTTTTACAAATGATGCTCTGATTATTTGTCCAGGCTGGGAGAGCCAGCTGTTGGAGACGGGATTTCTGGCCATTTTCCTGTGTCCGGTGTGGACTCTGTCCCAGGTCCCCCGCCGCTGCCCCCCCTCCCTCATCTGCATCTGGACCTTCAGATGGCTCATCGTTCGCATCATGCTGGGAGCTGTGAGTAAAGCCCTTTACAGTTACATACACAAGTAGGCTGCATCTCTCGGACTGAAACAAGAGACTGTTCTGATGCAATGATATCATTTTTGGATGATTTTTTATTTTTTTTTTGCATAGAACTTCTCAAAGCAGCCGTTTAACTTGTCAAACACAATAACACACAATTGATTGGAGTTGACTCAGAACATGTCTTATTCCTAAAACCCATTCACTGCCACCAGCACCTCGACTAACACATTTCCTGTGGGGAGACCCAGCACAGACATTAATAATAGTCCAGTCTAAACAGAAAGGCATGTACTTTATACACACACACACACACACACACACACATGCACACAAACGTATACCTGAATACATCCAGCAAGCCAACATGGAGAAATAAAGCCAGTTTGCAACAGTTTAATTCCCTTGGGTATTTCAGTGTTTGTCCTCCTGACTTCAGATCGTTTCTTTTGGAGCAGTGCTTTGCTACAAAACACTGCCAGTATTTAGAAATCCAACCCAGATATATGGTCGGCTAAACAACATGTCTGGTTGTTTGACAGTCTCCATGGTGAATTTTAGACCACCGACTTGGTTTGATCTGCCAATCACTGCAGCCGCCACAAATCCAGCAGGGTTTTTCCTACAAGGACCACGTGGAGAGCTGAAAACACAAGCGGAACCACCTCAGCCCTGTTTGACTGGAGAGACCGAATTTCTGTCAGCAAGATGCAAAGTCAGAGAGAGTTTAGTTGTAAAGTTAGAAAGGCAACATTGTCACCTCGACTATGGTATGCTGGACTGCATTTTATGTTGTAAAGGGTGGAAGGAAACGTTAAGTCGACAAAAATGATGAACTAAAAGAGTTTTTGGCCGATAACATAATACTTTTGTTCCCAGAAATATTCAGCAGATTTTGGAACGGAAATCTACATGTATACATATTAACGTATGTTTCTGTTTATTTACAATTAGAAGCTTTAAACTCAATTAGACAGTAACAGCAGCTGAACACAATTCTCTCTCTCTCTATATGTATATACATATATATGTATATGTGTATATGTATATATATCTAAATATCAGCTTCTTGAATGTCAAAACATGCAGCTTTTTCATGTCTTGCATTACCATAAATTGAATTATGTTTGTCAGCCAAAACAAGATATTTAACATCACCTTGGGCTCTAGGAAATTATGAATAAAATAACTTATATTTTCAATACTATAACGTATTAATTGAGAGAATAGTTGACGATACAAAATAATCTTTTGTCGTAGTCCTAGTGCACGCAGTATGTCTGCTGTTTCAGCATAACATTCACTTCATCTGTTCATTACAGTTGGCTGCTATCTTACTTGTTTCCTAATTTGAATTGAACCCAACGTTATACTTGACGAGATATTGCATCACAATGCAAGTTCTGCTTGTGTAGATTTTTGAATGTTTGAATGGGTTCATCTCCTCCAGTGGAGATGATGTCCTTGCATCTTCCCCTTATCCTTTTAACCAGCTGTTGAAATAATTCAACACAAATGCTAAAAATATGCATTAATGAGATGCTGTTGTGGAAAAGTATCCCATTAATATCGAAGGAATCAAAGGCTCCAGTTTCCTTGGTTACCTTCGATAATAATCTCTGCTAAACTAGATAAAGCACCACCTCATACGAGAATGAATTGGCTCACCAGAACAGCACTTCCAACACACACACACACACACACACACACACACACACACAGTGTTGGCACAGCAGGTTGCCCAAACATAACAATTTCCAACATGTGGCTGCAAAAATAGAATAAAAATATCTGCTGACCATATGTTATGCTAAGCAAGAGTCTTCACATAGCTGTATTTGCTAATTAATAGATGAATTGGTGTCCCCATTAGTATAGCTGAATGTGTTCGTATGTCATGTGACTTGTGTTGGGACATTAAGCAGCTCCCGTGATTTGTGCTGCAGCAGCTTGTTTGCATCATCAGCCTGTCCGGCTAATCGGGCGATAAACTATGAAAAAGTGTAGCTAATGTGGTTTTATAGGACCGTGGTGGATTACAGTAAATATTCTGAAATATTATTAATCATGTTTACATAAGGGCAGAGCGGGAAAGTAGTGCAGATGGATATGCAGCCCTATAGACCTTTTTTTTTTTTTTTTTTTTTCAAAAAATATATTAGCTTGAGGTTTCAGTGGACGTCAATGTAGCAATAACCCTTTAAGATGTGGTTCCGCTATTTAATTATTGTGCTGGGGTGATAGATTTTCGTGTGCTTGTTTACAGGCTCCCCAGCCTCTCACCATCTGTCCATGTCACTGAAGTTCTTCATCATATTAAAGGCTGTTAGCCTCTCTAGCCTCTCAGTCTACTCAATGGGACTTAGTGCTACAGTGAGTTAATTGTCCCAGTAAAGCCCTAACAAATATAATAATGGAAGCATTTTATTTGACCTGTTCTCGTCTTTTGCTGTATTCCATTTACCTGTTAGGAATGACTTCACATGTGAGTTGACTGCGTCCCAGGAGCTACAACAAGTCGTAAAGTGTTATGGGGTTTGCTCCAGCCAGGTTAGCCATTGTTGGCAATAACAGTTGATACTAACGCAGTTGTACAGTTGACACAAACACTGTAGCAACATGCCCACAGAAAGAAGTTGGACAGTACTGACTGACTGATCTAATGAGATGCAAGATGAGACAAAAGTGCTAATTAACAGCATAATACTGTAGCTTTTATACTGTTGATGCGCTTAGCGGCCATTGTTAGGGTTACTTACCTGGGCTTCATTTCTAACATGCCGCCAAAAGCTTTACAACAGGCTGAATTAATAAAAACAAATCACCTATTTTTACTTGCTGGCCGTTTACTGATAGCATAGCATTTGCTAGGAGAAAAAACATTTTAGGAAATATGCTTGTATGCTTTTTCATGATCACATAAGAAGGCACATATCAATTTAATCCTTGTTCGTCTAGTACAAAGATATGTCCAGAACGTGGTTAGCATCGTTTTAGCTTAGCACAAAGATTGGAAGTGGGGGAGAACTGCTGGCCTTGCTGGGTTAGGGTTAGAGATTTCTACAGTGTTTAATGTTTACCACTGTGACTGGTTTAGCATTCATTTTCCCTTACTGAAAACCTAATCGATGAATCATGTTGTTTAATAGATAATAAAGCCTGTGAATATGGGCTTCTTGATGTTTTAACTAATCACAGAATGAGTTGCCTGAGGACATTTCTTGTGAAGAAACAGTTAAATGATTAACTTCTCTGGTTTTCTGCTAATGTTTACGAGCTTCCTGTTTAAATCGCTAACGCTGATATTTTGAATTGGATTACACATTTCACTGCTGGCAGGAACATCTGCATTAGGTGTGGAGTTCGGGGTGTTAACTGGGATTAGAGTAGGCGTGAGAATGTGTTTTGTGAGTGCGGATTGGATTGATTTTGGGATTACGGGTGTTGCTGGCGTACTAACTCGTCCGGGGTGTTGGCAGACAACTGTCCGACTGGAATGGACTGGTGTGTCTTGACTAATATGATAAATATCTGGAGTGACCGTGACTTTGAGGTACACGTGTAGTTGATGATGAGGTCCTGTGGTGCTGGTTTACTGCTGCAACACAATGCCTCTCACCTGTTTAGAAAAATATAGTGTTCCTCTTTTTAACCTATGAGAAGTTACAAGGAACAGTCTGGTAAATAACTGGCATATAAAGATAAGCGTTTTGTTTCATGGTTGCTCTAATGTGATTATACTTTCAAAGATGAGTTATCTGGAATACTAAAACCAGAGTGAACAGGATAACAGCTTGAAGAAAACATCCTTTCCTCCCTCCATTTGTCTTCCTCTCCTATGTTTTGAAATACAAGCTGCAAACACAACTTTGACATATTATCACCTTTAGGGTTGATATGGTGAACATGTTAGGAAACAGTTGCTTATTTTCACACCCATCTGAGGTGAAGAAACATTAGCATTTGTGTTTTACCGATAACGGCTGTCTACTTTGGCTGAAAACGCAGATGGGAGCTGTGAGAATGAAGAAAAACAATGAAGTTACGGGTCGCAAAACCAAAACAATGAGCTGAAAAACGCTAAAACACACTAAACTCAACGTTATGGGTTTCTTTTTGCTGGATACCGGGAGATTTACTTTGCATGATTGGCCAACGCTGTGTTAGCATTCCGTTGCCATAACATGAGCTAGCTTCTCTTAGCCCGGATGGTTGGGTAGTTTTCATTTGGCTTGTAGATCTGAAGGTCCCGTACATTGAACATGGGCATTTCAAAATTTAAATTATTTTAATTGCTGTTGCAAACACGGGATCAATGCCCGTAATGGGTGCAATCTGTCAAGGTTCTTTGACCTTTTTGTGTCTCCTAATTCGTAAGGATTGATGTCATTCCCTACCTTCAGTGATGTAATATAGCACTCCTTTGCTTCTCTATATATGGGCTGATGATGGACAATTCACAAGACAGACCGGTGACAGATAATGACAGGCCAAAGTTGTTTTTTTTCCCTACGGATGGCAAAACCATGACCTGCTCTAGTCTGCTGCTGAATCTACACACGCTATCCTCCAAAAAATGGCAGCGCTGCTGCTCGATTTCCATTCCCGAAGTCTCCGTTTGCCCGGAAGACAGAACTTGTGATCTTTACCTCACTTGTTCTGGAAGTCGAATCACTTCTCACTTTGACTTATTGTTGTCATGCTGACAGAATTTGTCATGGCTTCTTTCAGTGATGAACATTGAGAATTTCCCTTTTTTTTTTTTCTTTCTTTTTTTTCTCTTCTAGCAACCGGTTTGTATATATTTTAGATTATCAAATTAGTGTGGACAAGTATTTGTTACTCTCTTAATATAAATCTCAGCGTTCTTCCTGGAAATTTGCTAAATCTCTGTCGGTAATCCTTTCCCCCAGAGCTCTGGGCTCTGTTCATGTCGGAGGTCTGTCAGCTTGTAATTGTTGACATTTCAGGGTCTCATGACTGAATTGGATTATCAGCAACATCTACGGCCAGCAGCTGCTGCAGTCAACAGCCAAGCTCGTAATCAGGGTGAAATGATTTTTGTAAATCTGTTTAGAGGAGTTAGCAGATGATTTATTCTGCATTCCGTACGGCCGTCTGATGTGTCAATATTGACTGTCTCGTGTCCTGGATAGCTTTATTTAGTTCATTTGGTGAAAAACAGGCTGGGAGCTGAGGACACATTCAGTGTTTCCCAATAAATTCCGTGATAATAAGGGGGGTAATTACCTGTGTCATCTACCTCAGTTATTGATTTCATTTAAGTCTCCAAAATGAAGACAGACCTGGAACTACAGAAGCATTTCTCTTCAGATTTTTAGAACACCCTGTATAGTATTTAGTGCTTATTGCCTATCTGTGTGTACCTCTCTGTCAGTGGGACAGAGTGCTACCGAGTGCTGAAGGCCAGAGCACCTCATGATGTGTTCAGACAGCAAGCTGATTCAATTTGTTCTTACAGATTTGGTCTTGAAGGCAGACTGTCCACTTTGTAGCGTGCAGGTGATCAGAGTATCAGAATAGTCTTCCCTCAACGACAAAGAAAAGATTATCTTTCCTATGTGACCGCAGGATTAACCCTTATCACTGATAAGGGCTGCTAGATTTATAGCACTTGTTGTCATTAAACAGTTTGTCATTAAATTGTTTCAGTAGCGTGAGACAACGTTTTGGCTCTATATTTGATAGTCTAGAACTCCAAGAAAGAAAGCATGGAGAGGAAAGGAGTACAGCCTTTGGTGGAGAAGTGAGAACGAGCAGACGTCTTGCATTTGCAGAATCCCATTGTCAGCTATTGGATTGTATTTCATTTCTAAATGCAAGAATGTTGACTGGAAAATTGTTGACGTTGTGCATGATTAGGCCCTGAACTTCGTGAACCATAAACTGTTTGTATGTTTTCTGTCTTTTTCAGGGTCTCATCAAAATCCGAGGCGACAACTGCTGGAGAGACCTCACCTGCATGGACTACCACTACGAGGTGCGTGCACTGTTTCATGCTATCGAGTTAGCCAGACAAATGCAGTACGTGAAGCAGATGAGCGCTCTCGATCTGCCGCGGCCGCAGCTATGAACTGATTAAGCTGACCAACCTTTTCGTCAGCTGTTCAGGCTTTCCTATGAGAAGCCTGAAAGATCTTTCGTGCTTTCCACGGAAAAGGAAAGCAAATTTGTAGTTGTTCACTTGCCAGTCGCTGACTCAGCAGTTAGGCGAGGTAGTGTTCAGTGGGTTTATCTGCGCTTTCTTTGGCTGAAAACAGCTGCTGCCAGAAATGACACCGATCAGAGCGGTGAGACTCAACCAAAACTGCAAAGTCGTGGGCTGTAAAATTAAAAAACAATGAGCTGATAGATGTTAAACGCTCCATATAGAACTGCAGAGTAATCATTCTCCTTTTCTTTGAGTTCATCACTGCAAGCAACACCTTTCACAATAGACTTTGTCATTTGGCCAAATATTGACATACAAGTATTGATTAGAGCTGCGCTAAGATGTACTTAGTCCAACAAAGCTTTAACATTTTATGAGCAGGGTGGTTATCGTGAGTCACAAAGGAAATAAGAGTAGCTGAACTTTACTGAAGGTAGAATATCAAGGCTGCTTGTTGACTTTTGGGAAATGCAGTGCAGTAAATACCAGACATCGATGAGCCATGAGCACCAAAGATTCCTAAATAACTTAGAAGATGACTCTCTAAATTTCCCAAAAGCCCTGTTTTCATTGACAATCACAACATCTTAAGACTGATCCAGATATGCAGAACACATTGTGCCACAGCTGTGTCTCCTCAATCAGACTAACCACACCAGGGCAACACATTACAGTAACCATGCTGTCGTGGGTTTCAATAAAACAACCTCGTATGCGGACCGCGAGGTTGTACAAATCCCACCGTTACTGAGCCACAGAGGCAGGCCAGCTTCTGTAATTAACACAGACGGGAATACGCTGTCTACGCTCTACAATGTAGATAGTCGCACAGTCTGAAATTCAATGGGCGTGGAGGATGGACTGCAATACAATGGCTCCTGTGGGTCTGCATATCTGGTGCCGCTGGAGATTATGGAAACTTGGATTACTTAAAGAAGGGAATCGCGAAAGACATGCCTCATTATATGAACTGTTGCAGTCAGGGTTTCTGCCTTTCTATTCATTTGGTTTGCTGGTACACTGCATTGTAAATCTACTGCAATTCACCCCCCCTCCCCCCCCCCCTCCAATTGAAACAGTTTTAGCGTTGCTAATTCCATGGAAATCACTAAATGATTGTCATCCCCGGGGGGTTTGTAAAATGTAATATGTGGTGGGATATTTTGTCCTCTGCTCTAATTCATTATCTCTATTTCTTGTAAAATACCAAACGGTCTCTGTCCTCTCTGATAATTAATCAAATGAAACGGACTGAACAGGCAAATTCATTCTTTGGTTGCTCTCTGTATATGCAGATTCCCCGCTGTGCATTGTGTAGATTATCATAGTGAGTCACAAAGTCTGTACCTTTGCTTTGTTTTAAGGGATTATAAACTGGGGTTTCTCAACAATTTGATGACCGAGTGTCAATTTTAGGGAGCCATTGTATGATTGAGGGCCGAGCAACTATGTTATAAGCAAAAGAAACGGATACTCCTGCTTAGCTTTGCAGGTATTTGGTCATAAACCAAAGTATTGGATGAACAGAAATTTGATGATGGCGGTAGATGGAAGGTCAAGGGGTCAAAGTTTTTACAATTTATCCTCATTCATGTCACGGCAATCCATCCAGTAGTTGTTGAGATATGTCAATATTTAAAAAAACACCTCCTGGTGGTGCTGGAGGAAGAGTCAGGATCATCAAGGTCAGTAAGATTCATTGTAAGGGGGGCATACATGTCTGTACAAAATGTGATGCCAACCCATGTAATAGATGTTGAGATATTTCACAGGGTCACCAAAGTCATTACAATTGAGTTTCATTAACTTTAATATCTGTCGCAAATTTCATGCATCCTGTACTTGTCGAGACATTAAAACAGAAAAATGTCAACCTCATGCTGTCGCTAGAAAAAAAAGTGATCACCAAAGTCAGTGGGGTTCATCCTCTGGGGACCATGAATATCTGAGGACATTGAAAGTCCTCTCTGAAACCAGCCTAAATGACTGTAACTCTGTAAGGCAGAGCGACCCACTGTAATTATGCAGTGGTGAAGGAATCTCTGGGGCACATCGAGTCTTTCAGTGAAAGTTTACTCAATAAAACAAAACGTAACTGATGCATTCATTCCAAATTCCAATGGCTAAAAGGAACCAAAGACCTAATTGTGTTGTCTATGTTGTTCATGTTTAAAATGGAGCAGCAGTGGTTAGTGGCCAGCATTACCACTAACTTATTTGATGTAATATAATGATGAGAATCATGTGTAACATCAAAACGTAAGCTGGATATGTTCACATGTAAGTCAGTATGGTGTGGCTTTCAATGTACTCTACTGTGATTTATATACATATCTGTGTCTCATGCCTGTGTGTGTGTTGTGGTTTGCTTTATTGTGTCCTTGTGCACGTCTGTCCTACTTGTAATCCAGCTATACAGCAGTAGGCGTCTACAGTAGGTTTTGCCCTTTATTACCCATTCAGCAGATTAGCATGTCCACTTCACAAATGGAAGTCAAATACTACATTTCAACATTTACCCTCATCCTTGAATTGCCGTGCGTGGCCACATTTACTTCCAAAAGCTACAAAACGTGGCTTCAGCTTAAGTACGAATTCACCTCTGAAATGCGAAGGCGATTCTTTTTAACTGCACACTGACAGGTGTTTAAAATGCAGAGAAATGTTGTGCGTTTAGAAGATGTTGTCTCCTGACAAATCGTATTTCATGATGGACCTTATTCCATGCTGGGTCAGTTTCTCCGACCTCAACTGTCAACGGCATTGGGGGTAATGCAGATTTACAGGCACCCACACACACACACATATATACGGAGAGCCGGAAGCCGCTGGCGCCAGGTGAGGCGTTATTAACCCCCTTCTGACACACTGCTCTCTTTCAGATCCCCTCTTGCGTTGGGTGTGTTTCGGCACAGGCGGCGTTTTGTTTGCTTGGGTTTGTTTGTTGTAGCGCAGCTAGCTCGCGGGCCAGGTGGGGGTTGTTTGGTCGCCTGTGGTTGCAGGCTCCTTGCCCTTAAATTTCCAGGGGTGGTTCGGTGAGCTACAGGTTAAATACCCCCCCCACCTCGCCATTTCTTTTTCTTCCATTCCATAAAAAACAATTAGAGTACAGACTAGTGTGCCAGTGTCTTGTTTTCTTTTCCACACCAGCTATTTCTGTGCCGTATTTATTTTTCACCACCTCACCGGACACTATTTGCATGTCCAGCTGTTACACGGTTTGCATACGACCACATCTCACACACACACGTAATCATACGTACACTGCACAGCTCTGTGCGAGGGTTTTTTTGTGTGTGTGTGTGTGTGTGTGTGTGGGTCGGGTTACCTTAATTTACATAAAGTTCCACCTATATTTAGACATGGAAATGTTTCCTCTCTCCATCCTGGGCTCAGGCAATATTTCATCGCCAAAGTAAAGCTGAGAAAACGTGCATTTTTAAGCAGTAGAAGAAGTCCACGTTTAATAAAATGTATGGAACAGGTTTTAAACTTTTATGCATACATGCATGGAACTAAAACCCACGGATTGAAGGACATGATATTAACAAACTCCTCATTTTCTGACACTTGCTGCTACAAAGGGACCAGCAGAAGCTTAAAGGCCATCTCTGGCACCAGCAGAAGCTTAAAGATAGTCTGGGTTTTGCGTTTCTCTCCTCTGACTGTCGTCCATGTTCATTCTCTTTCCCTCCGTCTCCCAGACCCAGCCAGTTCCCAACCCCATGTCCTACTACCTGCACTGCTCCCCGTGGTGGATCCATCGTTTCGAGACGCTCTCCAACCACCTCATCGAGCTCATCTTCCCGCTCTTCACCTTCTTGGGCAGGAGGATGCGAACGTTCAACGGAGCAGTCCAGATCCTGTTCCAGGTAACTCGCACTTTTCACCCATTCGCCGTCAATGACGGCGTCTTGTGAGGGAAAGCCTGTATTTCTACAGAGCCAGACATTGGATTGAGAGTTTTACTCCTCTACCTTTTGGACATCTTCGTTCTTGCTTTAGGACCAGTCATAGCATTAAATGTTAATACATGAAACATGCTTACTGGCTGATTAAAGGAGATGTTTTATTACATTTAACCATTTTTTAAATTGAATTATGTGCCGCTGTGCACTTACATTTAACGTGCGCATCATGTGCAGTGGGTATCAGAGCTCATGTTGTTGTAGTTGACTTTGCATGGCTCAAAATAAGTCAGTACCTAACTTGCTTCATACTGCTAAAGTGATGCAATGCAATGAATCCACCAGTTATTTTGTTGTGATGTTTTGTGTACCACCTGTGTGTCTCTCCACTCGGCCTTGTCTCTTGTGCTATAGGTGGTTCTGATAGTGAGTGGGAACCTGAGTTTCCTTAACTGGCTGACCATTGTTCCCAGTCTGGCCTGTTTTGATGACGCATCGCTGGGCTTCTTGTTTCACTCTCGAGGTGGAGCCAAGAGGGCAGTGCTCGAGTTGCAGAATGAGGCTTCAGCTGGACGCACTCCCAAACCCACCAAAGGTACTCACGAAACAACATGAGGCCAAAAGTAGGGAGACAACTCCTCAAAATAACGCACGTCTGTCCTAGCTTTAGGACTCCTAGATGTTATTTGTGTGAGAGTAATTCACAAAGCAAAGTGGCCATTTAAAGGGATAGTTCAGCTTGTTTTGAAGTGGGATTGTGTCACTCTTCCACCAGCACGTAAGCTAAGCAATGTGCTGTTCCAGCAAAACATATTTCAGCCACCTAAAAAAAAAAATCAGTTTAAGTGTAGAATCACTGCTTTACCTTGCCATCAGACAGCCCTTTGCGCTGTTCAAAGCCACTGGACTCCTTTGACAAAAACAGAATTTTTTGCTGGTGTACCGCTGCCTCGATCGGTGAGTTAGTTAGTGTTATTGTTTGACTTTGGTGTTTTAAAGGGTCAGTTCAGATTCACCAAAGTCCCAAAATAACACAACCTAACTAACGGATCGAGGCAGCGGTAGACCAGCAACTTCCATGTTCTGCGAGGTAAAAATGACTGTTTTTGTCAAAGGAGCCTTGTGGCTTTTGAAGAGAGCATAGATAACGGCTTCCCCATCGGAAGAACTGTCCGACGGCAAGGTTAAGTGGTGTAAATATTCTAAACATAGTCTACACTTAAACTGATATTGACTTTTCTTTTTTTTTTAAATTTATTTTTAGCCAGCGTTTGTCAATACCAGCCGTCCCGTGATCCAACAGCTCAAACCCCTTCCACCGAGGAAGTGTTGAAGTCATCACTTATACATATACGCACAGACTTACACGCTTAATAGCACTAATTCTGTTCACATGCACGCAAACCAGCCAGACACTGACACACGTACAGTATATGTCGCCTTGATGTAAGCTGTAATTGCTGTTTTTCCCCTGAGCCCCTCAGTCTCATTTTGAAATGGTGGACTGGAAACGTGAGATGGAATGTTTCTCTAATAGTCAACAAAGTAAACAAAATGCTGTAGTACCTTCTTCATGCAAAACAAGACCTGCAATTTTGTTCAATTTGTCTAAGAGCAGTGTCTAGACAGAGTGTGATGACTAATGTTGCAGTTTGTCCATTGATTCATGCTATTCCACTCTTTGTATTTGTGTGTGTGTGTGTGTGCGCGCGCGTGTGTGTGTGTGTGTGTGTGTGTGTGTGTGTGTGTACGTACATATGGTATGCATTACAGGTATGTTGATACGCCGGGTGGTGAACATCTCTTTGGGCGTTCTGATTGGCTGCCTGAGCATTCCGGTGGTGATGAACCTGTTGAGTTCCAGGCAGGTGATGAACACGTCCTTCGACCCGCTGCGCATCGTCAACACCTACGGGGCCTTTGGCAGGTACGGGACGCTCAGGTTCATGAGGTTGGACTAGGTATCTGTGGATCGGCCTGAAAAGCAGCTAAAATGAATGTTATATATTATTTTTCTGGATTAGTGAGATTATTATCTCATTATTCTAAGAAAAGTCTTCTCTTGTTTCTCTGAATTGAAGAGAATAATATCTCAGAATTCTGAGAAAAAGGTTTTCATGGAAGAACCCCTCCCCACCCAACACTAAGAAAAATTAGCGTGGGGGGGAGGATGCAACAAACTGCAGCTCTGAGGATGGAGATCAGACCATTATGCCACATTCCTGCTGCCATTACACACGTCCTTTTACACATTTGAAAATTGTGCACGTAAAGGCATCTGCACTTTTAAATGCTGTCCTACATGTCTGCAGTCTTGCATACGTACACATCCACTCTGCAGCCTTCTACCCACTTCCCCTCGGTTTATGAAGCGTTCAGTGTTGTTTTACAAATCAGCGTCCGCACTTTAACCGAATTCCTCCCCAAACATCTGTCCAGCATCACCAAGGAGCGGACCGAGGTGATTTTCCAGGGCACTCTGAGCCGGGACCCCAAGGACCCTGAGGCGCTGTGGGAGGAGTACCAGTTCCTGTGTAAGCCGGGGGACATTTACCGGCGGCCATGCATCCTATCACCGTACCACTACCGGCTGGACTGGCTCATGTGGTTTGCTGCCTTCCAGGTGAGACACTGCGGGAGTTGATGTGCGGAGTGAAGTCTACCACCGGCCTAAAAATCAAAGTCACTTGGCTGTATTTTTGTACGTGGACATAGGATTTGGCTGATATTAGTGCCAAAACGGATGCCATTAATCAGTACCTTTTTAGATGTAAGATTTCCATTTCAAAAAAACACCCTGTTGCCTCTGATAATATGAAGTTAACTAGGAAAAAACACAAATAGAGGAATGAGTTTAGCTGGTCTATCATCCTATGTGGCATTAAGCATGTCAAGCCACTAGGGGGCAGTAGTGTCAGGTACTAAAAATAAGGAGACTTTTGGAATAGTCAGTCTATCTGTTTTTCTCTGTTTCTTATCTTCTGTCAGTCTCCATCTGTCAGTCTTATTCTTTATTATTCATCCTCAGAGACTCTTACCACACCCTCCGTCTCTCCCTGCCTCCTTAAATCCACATCTTTCACACCCTGTGTCTCCTTCCCTGTGGCTCACTTCCTATTCCTTTCCTTTAACACCTTGTCTCCGTGTTTCCGTGCAGACCTACGAGCAGAGTGAGTGGGTGATCCACATAGCGGGACGTCTGCTGTCCAACGACAGCGCGGTCCTCTCGCTGCTCGACCGCAACCCCTTCCAAGGCAGAGACACTCCCAGGTAAAGCCAGAGCGAAAAGATCCTTCTGCAGAGCATAAAGCACTTCATGTCCACATCAACCTCACCTCAGCAAACATTTGTCCTATTTGTGATCAAGCTCTGGTTTGCTACCTGTTGTTAAATGTTGGCAGCAATCAAATGACAAACTCATACTGCTCATGAGTTATTCTCTGTGCTATAGCGCCCTCTGGTGAAGCAATGAGCACATAGTCCCTCTTTTGCTCCAATACAAAAACTGAAATATGTAGCTGAATTTGTTAGGACAATATGCTGTCTACCTATAGTTAGAAATATTAATAATAGTGTCATTTGTCCTGAGAGGAAAAAAAACTGGCTTCAATGAGACCAGATGATGATGGTTGCAATGCCTTTTTGTTTCACGGGACACCACTCCTTTCCGTGTCCTCCTCAGGTGGGTTCGAGGGGAACATTTCAGGTACAAGTTCAGCCAGCCGGGCAGCAGCAGCGCGGCTGAGGGGAAGTGGTGGCTGAGAAAACACATCGGAGCCTACTTCCCTCCCGTGGACCTGGAAGGACTGAGAGGCTACTTCCAGTCCCGGAGCTGGCCCCACCCGCACGTAGCGCCAGGCAGGAGCTAGAGCCATGACGCCTGACTACAGTATCAGGGGGGGGGGGGGGACCTGAGGTCTGCAGTGGTGGAGAGAGAGGTCGTATTCAGTGCGGTGTCGCTGGTGTGGAACACAGGTTTAAAGGACCACGGATGCTATCAGGTGTTTTTTTTTTTTTCCATATGTCATGAAGAACTGCTTCATAAAACCTAATATTTACTCAAATAATGTGATGCTTTTCAAGGTTTCATTAAAGGAATGAATCCATGAATCACAAATACATTACTGCCCCGTGTATCACACAAAAACAATGAGTATTGAATGTGACTTGACTAACGTTTCAACATTAAAGCTGCTTCAATTTAAATTGTGATTTCCCTTCAACCTTTCCCCTCTGATGAGGAGTGTCGGGGCAAAACATTTCAGGACTGTTTCTGTGTCGCCTCGCATTGACCCGCTCAGCTGGGGGTTTAGACAGGGCTACGTTAGCCGCTGCTAGCACAACACACACACCACATTTTCAATGAGGTGACAGAACGTGTGGAACAAAGAAGAAAAGATCTTTAGTCTTCGTGAGTCTATGTTTTTAGCCGTTCAATGCTAAATTGGAGGTATAATCTTTTGATGGAACGTTCCAGACGTCGACTTTCACCAGGTGCACTCAGTCTGTTCCACCTTTTCCTCACATCAAGCCTCACCTGTCCCTCATCAGCCCCGCTGTGTTCATACACTGGCCTCTCTTCCTTTGACACATTGTCCGTTGTGCCGCTGCAGCATCCTGCCTCTATTCTTGTGTGCTTGCCTTTTCATGATTCCTGCCCTCTTCTGTTTTCTGGATTTCTTTACCCTCAGACTGTTTACTGTCTTCCAAGTTGAGATCAGTTGCAATTGAGGGTGTATTTAGTTCAATAAGTGGGACTTTACCCTCACAACTCAAACTGGATCATAAAGGGATCATTTACATCAAAGGTGAAACTGATTTCACTAGTAGACGCCAGTGTACTCAAATGCAAAAAAAAAAGTCACGTTTCCATATCTTTGAGCTTTTTAATGCCCGACAGGCTGTTGACATCCAGATATTTATCAATTGTCTCTGAAATGGCTTTACAAAGGGAATTTGTCTCACCAGCACTATTTATACCAACCAATCTCTAATTGGCTCCATCACCACAACTACTGATATTTAGATTAAATATAATCAGTCCTAGGCAGATGTGTATGGAATCAGGTGAGTATATTTGACAATAAAGCTCATTTAAATGAGAAGGTTTGAGTTGATTATGAAGAAAAACCAATCAGAAATTAAAAATAAAAGGAAAAGTGTGTACGAAATGTTTTCATTAACATGGAGTTCTAGTGACGGGAGGAGGACACTGGATGGTGCCGTTCTCCAGCTCATTCATCCATCTGGGCTTTGTGGTTCACTGCGGCATTCATCACTGCTCCTCAAAGTTAATCGACCTGCACTGAGTCTGGTGTTGTGTACGTCCCTTCTGTCCGTTATGCCAATAACATTTTACCCAGCAAAACCATATATATTTGTCCCAAATAATAATGTCTGCAAATATATGGAAACATATTTTGAATATTTGTCTTCCTAATGTATCAAACCCTCCTCTGACTCGTGAATGTCTCTGATTTGATATCGTTGCTCTACCAATGGGTGCTTGCTGGCTTAAAGGAGCCACGTGTAGCGTTTAGTAGGGATCTATTGGCAGAAATGGAATATATAAATGCATGTTTTGTGTTATCACCGGAAATGGAGCGGCTCATCGTCATGGAATCCGCCATGTTGCACCGCCATGTTTCTACAGTAGCCCAAAATGGACAAACCAACCACTGGCTCCAGACAGGGCCATTTGCGTTTTCACATCAGCCGCACGGGAGAAGTTTCCATTGGTTGCAATGTGCAACCCCACCGATGTCACTGTCGCCAAATCCTACACACACACACACACACACACACACACACACACACACACACACGATTATTTCTAAATGTGTTTATTTATTCAATATTGAACTCTAGGACTCCGTGATCATATGAAGTGAAAAATGATTCGAAGGGTAAAGAAACAGGGCTAGGTTCCGATCACTATCATCAGTGGTGGATGGGTGTGCGTGGTCCTCAGTGTTGTTTCGACGATGCAGCTCTCACAGTATGGGCTTTTTTTAATAGCCTCCTCATCAAACGTCTCTGCGTCCCGTTTGTTGTGCTCCCCGCCTTCGGACTGCAAATACATTTCCCCCGCAGAATCGCTTTTCGCAGCTTTCGTGTGACTTTGATGGTTGACTTACAGATCACGCACGCCGGATCACCATTTTCCCTGGGTTCCTCTGATATAATATTAAAAGTGTGGGCGGCAGCAGTGCTCAAAGACTGGTTTGATCACAGCCATCAAGACAAATCGACAAGTCAGTCATCCGCCCAATGGCTGCTGGTTGTACAGGGCAGCTCTCAGGTGTGGAGGCTTCTAACTAAAGGGGGGATTGTTGCAGAAGAAGACGCTCCAGTGAGTCACCAGTGCAGTGGACAGACCGTCCTCTGTTCGTGGTTGCGTAAAATGCTCTATATAGTATGCATCGTCACAGCTGATGCAGGACAATGACTGCAAGCTGCGTTAAACATACGGAGTGACTCATGTGGTGTTTTCACACAATCGGGTAGCTACAGAGAGCCGGCTTTCTCTTGGACGCACATTTTTTGCAACCCGAAACGGTTAGTTTTCATTTACACTCGGCTTTCCACGCAAACAAGCTGCAACCTCCTCAAGTTGTTGCCGAGTCGCCCTATGCAGATCCTCTAAGGACCCCTCGATGCCGGCTCCATTAGATTGTATTGACATTAATGGGAAAAATGACAGCTTTTCTTTTAAAATGTAAAGTCAGTGCCTTCCACGAGAGGTTGGGCTCTAAATTAAAAGAAGTTTTTTTTTTTTGTTTTTTTCCCCCTTTAAACCTGCAATAACATTTGTTTGGCCACTTGGAGACAGCAAACTCGACAGTGACATATGTTCACCTTTTTATGTTGATGCAGCGAACTTCTTAGTGAACGGTTTCTTCTTTCCAGAGGTAATAATACAGCAGCAAGCAGCTATTTGCTTTGGTAACACTGTTAGCGCCGCTGGCTGCTCAGCCGTTGCCATGTTTAGGGCCATGTGGAGGTACTAACGAATGCCTTAAATTTCGTAATGGCTTTAGCACATTTGACATTCACTTGGGAGTCATGTAAACCAAAATACAAATGTTGCAAGCAGGAAAACCAGAATGGGTGAATGACGTAGTGTTAAAAGCATGTAGAGTGGTCTGAAGACTAGAAGAGTGCTAAAAAAGTACAAGTCCATTTACCGTGTAAAGCATGCACCTGCTGGCCACACTGGAAACACTCCATTGATCTTTAAAGGCCCTCATTTTACAGCACGCCTGCCTGCTGAACGTCTGCTGCACTTGTGCACCGTTACCCAGAAGGCAGAGGGAGTAGTCTGGATATTGAGGACTAATGCAGCATTGTATTTCAAAATGTCTGGAGAAAATGTAAAGCTTCCCATTGACACGCTGACACACAGACCTGCGCCTTTAAAAGAAAAATACACCCCAACACTAGAAATTAAATTGTTTTCTATTATACTGCATAACTCAGTTTTTACATAATATATTGGGCAGTGATGGGATCTACATACCAGCCGCCAGAGAGTACATTGTCAGCTGATATTTATTTGGATTTAGAATAATTATACATATTTACTGTCTACCAATCGTTGATTATCATCAAAACTGTGGCATCAGAAATGTCACATCGTCAGTTGAGTGTTCTTATCCCCAGTTTAGAGAGACAGTATTTTTGGGGGGGGTATTAACTGATTGTAAAACATTGTTGTAAAAGTATATTATTTCCGTTTTAGGGTGGATTTTCCCTATAAACGCACTGAAACAACCATGCCTGCATGCGCTCCCAACATCACAATACGAGAGAGGGAGGAGTGAGAGCTGTTTACATTGTGAACCAGATTTATAGTCATCCGGCTGCACCACCGGGACAACAGCTGTTTCGAGTTATAGCCAGCATTTGTCCGTTAAACCGTCTCCAATTTACGCTTTACGCACAGTCATGATTTTGACGCACAGGTGAACTTATTTCGCCTCGACCACAACTCCGAAAAGGAAAGGTGCTTTGAGAACGTCTCGTGCGTTTCGAACTCTCCTCCTCACTCTCCCATCGGAGCCGAACAGGTTGTCGGAGCCATGTCCAGGAAGAAGGCAGTGAAAGGCAAAGGGAGCTCCAGGAGCCCCAAGGCGTCGCCGGGCAGCGGGAGGACGGGGAAAGGTCTGGCCGCCGCCGCCGCTCCGTCTTCCGCACTGGTTTATCCCAGCAGACCGTCCATCAGCAACAGCGGAGAGTTTTACGACGTCGCCTTCAAGGTGAGCGGACAGCTCGGGCTTAAGTGAGAGGTTGTGCGAGGGTGCGTTCAATCAAGTAATCAATTAGTAAATGAACCGCAGGTGATAGGTTAGAAGCGGCCAATGACAACCCTTTCAATTCACGCCTTTAAAACCAAGTCGAATCCCAGTTGGTACATGTTCGAAGTTGAAATTCTACTTATTTTGCAGCGTCGTTTCCATAATTTAAGTGTGTAATTTAAGCGCGCACGCGTGTGTGTGTGTGTGCGTGTGTGTGTGGAGCTGAATTCGAAGTAAATGATTAAAGCAAGGTGCGTTAGGTTTCATAATTAGTTGTCCTCTTGTAAACACGTTGTGAACGTTTTCAGGGACGTGTGAGACCAAGAGAAAAGAAAATGCCTATAGCTCCATGAAAAGTTTGACGTGATAATAACAAAAAAACGTGCTCATGGTACGTCAATATGTTGAACAAGTGTCATGATTTTGACTGAGAAAGTAAAAATTTGGACTTAAGTATCTTATAATATTATAGTTGTGTTGCACTGAATTCAAATTGGACACATTATTTCATAATTGTGTCTTATATTGTGACTTTATGTATATAATGGGACTCAACATGCATGATTTGTATTCTTTATTCTGCATAGCTTTCTGCTTTCACCTCCATAAATGTGCCTGTGCAGCACAATGTGTATACTTTAACCATTATTTGCCACCGATGGCACAGTCCCAAAATGAATATGGCACAGTCCCAAAATGAATGATAAAGCACATTGTTTTGTCCCATGTTCAGTCTCAAAACTGTAGAATACAGTGAGGTATATCCACCGTGTCTCTACTCTGGTCCCTGCAGAATCAAAAGTTTAGGAACCGCAGCTGTATTGTGCAACAGGAACATTACGTGCTCCACAGCTATAATCCGGTGCAATGACACAATGAGATGGTGCAGAGTGTTTTCTGTTATGTATGAGATCAATTAGCCCTACCAGCAGCACAGGAGGCGGGCTGTTTTGTGCTTTTTGGTTTTGTAGCAGTGGACATGGGGACAAAACATCTGGCTGATTCTCCACTCTCCCAAAATACATCAGCCAATTTCAGCTTTTTTTTTTTTTTTTACCAAACAAATACATTTTCAGGACTTAAAATGTGTGTATATATATATAAAGGAAAATGATCATAAATAAAAGTAATCATTTACTTGATGGAATGCAAAAAAATACACACTTTATGTCTCTGCAGGGATTTTATAAAATCATACTGTGGCTAACAGGTCTTTTAATGATCCAAAACTGCCAAATATTTTCTTGCATTTTCACTTTTTATATTCAACAAATGAACTGATAATAAAAATAATCATTTGTTGCAGCCCTATTGGCTATATAGCAGCGACACAAAGAGTATAATCCCCCCCCCAATAAAAGTGTCAGACGGACATGATGAAGACGAATGCTAATCTGCATCGTGCATATGCAAATCAAAACTTTCATCATGTGGGTGGCAGCTGGTATTAATTCTGCACCCTGATTAACAACCGCTCCAGTATGACAGGCCTGCCAAAATCACTGCTCCGTGTCACAGTACCACCTCTGCTCATGGCAAGTCAAACTATTAAACCTCCAAACCAAAGCATATTGATGCAATAGATAGATACTGCCGACGTATCGACTGGCACAAAAGAGAACAGTCTTGTGTTGTCTGATGGCAGAAAAATGGAAAGCAAACAAACTCTGGGTCCCACCTCTCTCTCTCTCCCTCTCTGTCCCATTGGTCTGTACAATCTGCTCTCTCCCACTGCACTGAGTGTGACGCTCTGTTTCATCTGTAGATGGGAGTTTGGAGAGTGTGTGTGTGTGTGTGTGTGTGTGTGTGTGTGTGTGTGT